AGCTTAAAACCATCCATGTCCGGCATAACCACATCACTGATTACCAGGTCAAATCTGTCTTTATTTTCCCTCAACATTTCCAATGCCATCCTTGCCTGACTTGTTGTAGTAACTGTAAAAACCACAGATGATAAGAAGAAAAAAGGTGAATTTAATCATATTTTTCAAATCAAAACATACAAAAGTTCATGGTAAGAGATCTATTTAAGAGGCAACCGTAAATTAAATCATGATGAGGAGAATATCTATAACAGTCTGGGCTCAGAATCAAGATTGAGAACCGAAAAAGAAAACTAATAAGATATAAACTTAAATAATACAAGTGATGATGCATCAAAATCTACCAGGATCCCGCCAATACATGGGACTACATGAAGTTTAGGTGCAACATACTAATCCTATTATTATGCCCAACCATTGCAGAATTACTTACTGCAGCCTTATTCAGACCAATATGATAAAATGAGTGCATTAGGATCTAGCCAAGGGAAATCACTCCTCGGAGGATCCACTATATGTATTATCAATGTCTTTCACATGGCAGAATAACATGAACATCTATAGCATTTGCAAAATAACTTAGAACAGGAACTATAAGCATGGATTAAAAAAATTTACCAGGAACAGATATAGGAGGACCCAAAAGTAGGTGAAGGCATGAAGTATTAAGCAATTATAGCATATGAAAACCGAATCAAAACTTTAAGCCATACTTCATAAGGTAACACAAAGACTGGAATCAACAAAATCCAGAACCATGAATGCACAATAAAAAAATAGGTACAAAAGTTTTGATGCAAAATTGAACAAACTCCACTTCAAAATCTAAGATAAATTACAACCCAATAATTACATTTCAAAGAAAAAATCTTAAAATTAAACCAAATTTCAACATCAATAGATAGATGGGTCAAAATCAACTAAAACAGGCCATGGGAGACACATACCATGGTACTGGCATTTTCTAAGTAGAGTCTCCAATAACTTCAAACAAATTGGGTCATCATCAACAGCAAGAACACGAAGACCCACTGGAAATTTGTCATAACTTCCAGTTTCAGCCCTAATTTCATCGGCAGTCATCTTTAGAACCCCAGAAATCAAGCGCCCCAAAACAGGGATCAGATAGTCAAAAGTTCGAGTCTTTTACTGAACAAGTCACTTTTTTGAATTCTTGGCAAAAACCCAGTTGGCAAAACGTGTTTTCGGATACACAGAATCAAGAATTGATACAGATAGAGCACATCAAAGAGGGACACAAGGGACAGAGTGTATGTAGAGAGAGACAACCAAAAAAACAGAAACAAAAAACAAAAAAGACTTTGTTCAATTTAAAGCTGGGCAATGATGGCGATGGCCAGAACAGAGTGAATGGCTTCAACGCAACAATAACACCACATCGAATCAGTTTTTCTTTTTTAATTCTACTCTCTGTCTTTTGCTCTTCTGAACCTTTGTCTGGCATATAAAATTGTAACAAATTGTTTCCATATCGAAAAAGTGGTTGTGAATAATGGAGCTTTTTGTGGTCAAATAATTGAGTTTTGTTTATAGTCTGCTTCCGGCAACTTTTTCCTCTCTCTCTCTCTCTCTCTCTCTCTCTCTCTCTCTCACAACTCATGTGAACCCAAAAGCAAAGCAATTTTGGGAGTGGAAGACTTTTGGTAACGATATTATATTATGTGTCTCATGTGCACCAATGGGTCAATACACCATACTCGTGTATGAAAGTTATGAGAATATTCTCCATTTATTTGTCAAAACTGTTTTGGAAACCCGGTTCGATCAGAAAATTTGAGAATCAATTTGAATATTTGTTCCATAAAATCTCTGAAAAACTCTCGAAAGAATATTCCACTTGTTTGGGCATAAAATTTTAATGTCACATGTTTAATTAGAATAATGTACTAAGACTTGAAGATTTTATTTCTAGCAAAATCATAAAGTAAAGCATAAAGACATTACAAAACATGAACTCAGAATAATGGAATGAAAATTTTTAAAAAGAGAAATTTGAATTTACCTAT